GGGGGGTGATTTCTCTCTTTCTGTCTCTCTGTCTCTCTCTGTCTGTCTGGCGAGCGCACGCGCCCTATAGCAAAAACCTCTCCAAAAAAAAAAAAAAATACTATTTCTAAAGTTATAGCATCTTAAGTCTACCCTCCATGTTTAATTTGTGTTTTATTTTGTTTTTAAAAGAATTATTAATTTAATTTAATTTATTTATAATAATTATTATTATTTTAATTTGCTATAGGGAACCAGAGAGAGTTGGGGGAGTGGGCAGTGAAAAAGCAAGCTTTCGGATCCGAGATTCGAACCATGGCAGGCATGTGGGAGTCCAGCGCCTTTACTACCACACCACTTATTGATCCTTATTTCGTTCTTATAATAAGTGGTATCGATGAAGTTTCATTCATTGTATAAATAATTAAAATTTTTGATATCCTAATCCGAGCCCAAGACTTGAAATAATTTATGATTTCTTGTAAGATAACATCCTTAGTTACAAACAAAAGATGCTTTATATTCACACACATCAGATAAATACAAATTTTCCAATTTATTGCCTAAATTTATTGTGGATACGTGAGAAACTTACAGCTCTACATATTGAATTCAGAAGCCTTGTCTTTTCATTCATCTGCTATTGCTAATTAACTTTGTAACCTTGAGTCAATCACTTAATCTTTCTGATTTTTAAATCGTCTTTTATAAAAAAAATGCATTAAATTATATGGTTTCAAGGGTCTCTTAAAATCATTAGATTATCTGAGAAATACACTATTTCTTTTGTTCTACTTTGACCTTCATTACTAAGATGGAAAAGAAAAAAGCTTTATGATTTTCACTTTTAGAAATGGAGATTTATCTACATCATGCTGGCTATATTACAAAAATAAAATTTGTGTTACATAGATGCTCAATTTTATGCACTTAGGACGAGTTGTAAAATGTAAATATGAAATGCTCACATAAAATGTTATTATTTATCTAGTGACTGCTCTGTTTTATTATGTGCTTAAATGATGCTGTTGAATTACCCCAATTTATTACAGCATTAATGTTATCACTTTATTGTTAATACTATTGGTATTCAATTTTAGGGAAGCTAACTCTGACACTATGCTGACATCAGGGATAAAGAGGAGATAGCATTTTAAAAAGCAATAACCTTCAAAAGGCTAGTGCTTATTTAAACACATTGTTTAGAAGCACCAGGACATTGAAGGTAAACGTGCAAGACCTTGAATATGATCTTCTCTAAATAACTGCAAAATCCAAATCCAAAAGGAAAACAAAAAATAGTAGTTCTAGTATATTTAGATAACTGTGGCAAAAAGCAGAGGGTGCAAACAAAAAAGGGCAGATGAAGGGGACGGTCACTTTGGACCAAAGGTGTACTGTGTCTCCTCCCTTGAAGTCCGGGGTCCTTTTTGTCTAACTGTTTTATACTTTTCTCCTCTGTGGCAGATGCACAGTGCCTCATAAGAGTCAGAGGTCCTGGGACCAGCAGTTAGCATAATGGCTATGTCGCTGGACTCCCATGTAGTCAACTGCAGTTTGAGTCCCGGACCCAGTGACTTAAATTCATGCCGGGCACATGTGTGTGCATGCCCAAGATTCTGAGAGGAGAATAGAGAAGGGATTGTGGCATAGCTATCCCCCCCCAGGGGGGTAATTTCTCACTTTCTGTCTCTCTGTCTCTCTCTCTCTTTCTGGCAAGCATTTTCCCTATAGCAAAAACTTCTCCCCCCCCAAAAAAAAAGAGTTAAAAGTCCTTCTCATAGTATTATGGATGAAACCATATTAGCTCTCTAAAATGCAAATACAGTCAAAGGGAAAAGAATAAAGAACTACACAAAATATAATCTGTTTAGCATAAACTATACTCAAGAGTTTGATATTTTCATAAAAATTTTACAAAGTAGTTCAGGACCACAAGCCAAGGCTCTAAAGAATATCAAAAGCAGGAAGGGCCTAACTTTTTGAAAGGAAGCTTTGAATTTGGAGTATGGGTGTGTTCTAGGGCAAAGGATATTAATCAATGTTGGAATCTCTTGGCTCTAAAATTATTGAAAACAGTTTTATCAAAAGGTCGGTTTGTAGAGAAATTTACTGGGAAACTAATTTAAAAAGCAGATAAGACTATAATATTCTGGAGAGGGTTTTTGCTGTTGCTTTTTGATAAAGGGCATGTGTGCTCGCTGGGGGAGAAAGAGTAAACAAAATCACTTCCCTGGGGGGATGACCATGTCATCCCTTCTCCTCCATTCTCTTGGCATCCTGGGTATGCACACACATGCACCTGCCATGACAAGTTGCCAGGCCCAGGAATTGAACCATAAAGTTGGTCATGTGGGATCCAATGCCTTAACTTCTATGCTATCTACTGCTGGAGCAGAAGTCTATAGAATCTAGTGTATATAAGTAAACTATTGGAAAACTGTGGAAAATGTAGATTATTGTATCTCATCCCAAAGATTGAGACCCCATATGTCCAAACCAAAACATCACCCCACCTAACACTGGGGCAGAGAGTAGGGCTGCTTTTTCTGTATGTAGTTAGCCTAGAATATGAAAGGATACAACTAAAATGTATACAATGTTATATGGGATAGAAATGGGTTAAGTGCAAGATCATTTACCTCATCCATAGAATACAGTAAGAATCCTTATCTTGGACAATTTATTAATAAATGGTAAATATCCATTCTTACATATACATGTGCATATACATACATATACATGTCTACACTCATATACAATTTTATCCAATCTTTATGCTAACCTTAGCTATTATTATTCTCATTTATCCAATAAAAATAGTGAAGTTGGGAGAAGTCCCAAGATGATACAGTAGCAGCATCAGAATTCTAACTCAGAAATGCCCGGCTACAAATCCTATGCTCAACATCACTCACCTACACGTATTACCATGTTATAAGACTATGCATGGAGAATCTGCTTTTAGAGAAAGGAACAGCTCTATAAACTATTTAAATAACTTGACAAATAACAGACATTAAAATAAGCCTGACTCTTCAAGAGTTATATCAAGGGGAATGTACATCTTTGGGTTGCTCTTGAGGCCAGATCATTATCTGGGAGCATGTTAGATCTATTATACCTCAAATGACAACTCCTTTCACACAAGTACCTTGTACATTTCTTTTCTTTTTGCATTTTAAAGATTTATCTTTTAAATGAATGAGAGAAAGAAAGAACTCTGAAGAGGGTCCTGATGCCACAATCCACACCCAGCCTTCAGGCAGCCCCAGGTCATGGACGAGCATGTTATTAGTATACTCAGGAAGGCCTCCAAACTTGAGCTGGGAACCTCCCCCTGTGAGATTGCCTAGCGGATCATCACATCCTAGTGCTGCACCAACATTCAGCCCTAAATTTCAGGACTACCTGTTATACACATGGAAATAAAAACAATTCGATTCTGATTAATTTTGTTGGCATATTTTAATAGCAAAGTGATGAAATTAGAGGCAAGAACAAGTACACATTTTTAAACTAATTATGAAGGTCTACAAGATATTAATTTAAAGCAAGACTATTATGGGACAGACAACATCGTAATAAATGTTTGTATAAGGTTCTTTACAGTTATTGCAGCTTTTTAGAGATGCTTAATATTTTATATTCTTTTTTAAAGAATTATTTTATATATTCATTAATTTATTTTAATTTGACTAGAGAGAGATACACACACACACACACACAGAGAGAGAGAGAGAGAGAGTGAGTGAGAAAGCAAGCTGCCAGGTCCAGGGCTTGAACCGTGGTAGGCCATGTGGGAATGTCCAGCTCCTTAGCCACCATACTACCTGCTGGTCCCCAATATTTTATATTCTTAATATTGTGTCTATGAGGAAATGCTCAGAAACAGATTTGGGTATATTATATAGAAAGATGAGCTATAAAACCAAATGTATTGCCCATCTGTAGTTCTGTATTTCTCTTAAAAGCTTTACAAAAAGTAGAATGGTCTATTTAATTATGCAAAATAACATTTTTGGTGACTATGCCTTTTAATGGAAGCATTTAATGACATAATTTGGGGATAATTAGGCCCCCAAGTAGATAACATAACAAGTGCATTTTGAATAAAAATCATGGTTTTGTTAAAACATATGTTTTGGTTAATATGGTTGTGTATGTGAGTGTGTATATATATCTTTTTCAAGGTAGTGGACTAATGTTATAACTTTCCAGGTTTCAATGTATTTTAGCTTTTTTTTTTCTTTTCAAATCTTGAGCATTTTACTTCTTCAGCTTTTGTTTTGTAAAGACACTGTAAAGTGCAGAAGTATCAAAAAAGTTGATTGTATAGTGCTAATGTTTTCTTTTTCTTTATAATAATAATTTTTCTTCTTCAAGAAAAGTCTCTGTCAATGGACAACTTAATTAATTCTAATTTCTCACTTTGCATATTATATTTTAAAGGAAAATTTAAAATGTATTTGATTTTGTTTGTAAGTTTTGTACACAAGCATTACTTTATGATCCTGACTCCTGACGTACATTATGCCAGTGAAGTCCACAACAGAGCTAATAAAATGCAGACCATAATTTGTTTTGCATGTTATTTTAATCAATACTCCCTCTGCTGGTTTAATAGGAATAGAGCCCCAAGGACAACTCCTATTAACAGATGTTTATAGACTGTTTTTTTGCTATTAGAAAAGCTTTAAAAAATAAAGTCAAAAGTCAAGGCAAGTTAATTTATTAGCTTTATTTGTACAGCTATTCCTTGTTAATTCACACTATTAATATAAGTTGGAAAAATAGATACCAGAGGCCATTCCTTTTCTTTTACTAAGATAATTTCATAAAACCATTACATTTAGGTGATAGCTTTTATTTTTCCATCTTTTTATTTTAATTTTATTATCTTCTATAAAATTTGGAAATGTTCTCTCCCCTGTAAACCCAACAACTGAATAAAGAATGCAGTCCAATATTAAATGGGATGCAGATTTTTATCCATCTTGTGCATTTCTCTTTCTCTGCAGGCACTCCATCTGCACCGTCTACATTGAAGTACTTCCTCCAAATAATCAAAGCCCTCCTCGTTTCCCACAGCTGATGTATAGCCTTGAAATCAGTGAAGCCATGAGGATTGGTGCTGTTTTATTAAATCTGCAGGTATGCTCCTTCACACACGCATATTTATATATGCATATATTAATATATACATATATATTCAAAGTCATATGGTAAAGTGACAAGTCTGAAGACTGATGTGTTTCTATTTGTGTATGAGGGGAGAGCCTCCCATGCCTGCTTACTCCCTAGTGAATGAAAACTCTATCTGGAAAGAAAAGCAAGGGCAATATGGATGGAGGGTTTCCACAGCTAATCTATTCTATTGATTGCCACAGTTGAAGAACTCACAGTTTGGCTGGCAGGGATTAGCTGCCATCATTACAGGAGAAAATGAAAGGATTGGAAACATGTGCCAGGTTTCAATGTATTTTAGCTTTTTTTTTTCTTTTCAAATCTTGAGCATTTTACTTCTTCAGCTTTTGTTTTGTAAAGACACTGTAAAGTGCAGAAGTATCAAAAAAGTTGATTGTATAGTGCTAATGTTTTCTTTTTCTTTATAATAATAATTTTTCTTCTTCAAGAAAAGTCTCTGTCAATGGACAACTTAATTAATTCTAATTTCTCACTTTGCATATTATATTTTAAAGGAAAATTTAAAATGTATTTGATTTTGTTTGTAAGTTTTGTACACAAGCATTACTTTATGATCCTGACTCCTGACGTACATTATGCCAGTGAAGTCCACAACAGAGCTAATAAAATGCAGACCATAATTTGTTTTGCATGTTATTTTAATCAATACTCCCTCTGCTGGTTTAATAGGAATAGAGCCCCAAGGACAACTCCTATTAACAGATGTTTATAGACTGTTTTTTTGCTATTAGAAAAGCTTTAAAAAATAAAGTCAAATGTCAAGGCAAGTTAATTTATTAGCTTTATTTGTACAACTATTCCTTGTTAATTCACACTATTAATATAAGTTGGAAAAATAGATACCAGAGGCCATTCCTTTTCTTTTACTAAGATAATTTCATAAAACCATTACATTTAGGTGATAGCTTTTATTTTTCCATCTTTTTATTTTAATTTTATTATCTTCTATAAAATTTGGAAATGTTCTCTCCCCTGTAAACCCAACAACTGAATAAAGAATGCAGTCCAATATTAAATGGGATGCAGATTTTTATCCATCTTGTGCATTTCTCTTTCTCTGCAGGCACTCCATCTGCACCGTCTACATTGAAGTACTTCCTCCAAATAATCAAAGCCCTCCTCGTTTCCCACAGCTGATGTATAGCCTTGAAATCAGTGAAGCCATGAGGATTGGTGCTGTTTTATTAAATCTGCAGGTATGCTCCTTCACACACGCATATTTATATATGCATATATTAATATATACATATATATTCAAAGTCATATGGTAAAGTGACAAGTCTGAAGACTGATGTGTTTCTATTTGTGTATGAGGGGAGAGCCTCCCATGCCTGCTTACTCCCTAGTGAATGAAAACTCTATCTGGAAAGAAAAGCAAGGGCAATATGGATGGAGGGTTTCCACAGCTAATCTATTCTATTGATTGCCACAGTTGAAGAACTCACAGTTTGGCTGGCAGGGATTAGCTGCCATCATTACAGGAGAAAATGAAAGGATTGGAAACATGTGCTTGAATATTTTGTACTTTGCATCTGGAGAGTCTGTAGCTGAGTATTATTTTCTGTCTGGAATGCCTTTGCCCCAGCTGGATTTATTTTTGCTGCAGTGTTGGAGAGGGGACATCACCTTAGACGTAAAGGCTTAGGGTTGACGTTCTGATTCTGAGACAGGTTCTTCTTCACTCTATGCCATAGCCAAATCTCATAATTGCTGTGCCTTGGGTTTATTCATTCAGATAAGGGAAATAGATTTAGATGGTATTTCCATTTGGGCATATGAGTTACTTGAAAAATGATAACTTAGTTTTCATTATTTATATATCCCTGATCAGAACACTTTTGACCCCGGAGGGCTGTATCTTCGACAGAACAGATAGTTTGAAGGTCTGTTAAATATGATGTCAATAACTGTCACTTGCTGTAGCAATCATTGAAACCATAATACAATGTATTATTTTACCTGAGTGTTCAGAATGCAGTTTATCTTCTCCTGGTATTATGTGGGAATAGCAGGACTTGCTGATATGAGAATTTAGGAAGCTGACTTTGAGTTTAGAAATTCTAAAGTGACTGATGGGGAAAAATCACAGCATCAATCTTCAACATAAGATAAGATGAGTCCTCGAGGGAGGGTTATCTCTTTTTACTGTGTTTTTTTTTGTTGTTGTTTGTTTTGTTTTTTTGTGTGTGTGTGTGTGTGTGTTTGTGTGTGTGTGTGTGTGTGTGTGTGTGTGTGTTTTGTTTTAGAGAGAGATATTTTTGCTGTAGGGCACTTGTGCTCACCAGAGAGACAAAAAATGAAAAATCACCCCCTCACTCCCAAGGGGATGACCATGCCACAATATTTTCTCCTCCATTCTCTTCTTGGGATTTTGGAACGTACCACACATGGCCAGTGTGAGTTTTAAGCCACCAGGTCCGGGCCTCAAACCGTGGTCGACTATGTGGGAGTCCCACAACATAACCATTATGCTATCATCTGCCGGTCTCTCATAGCTGTCCCTTGCTCAGACCTCATTTGAGTACTGATACCCTCTTACCCAAATCCTGGTGAGATAAAGTGAAGATCCCATGGGATAGTGGTATAGAAAAGAATGTGAAAATAATTAATTAGATTTCCACATTTTCCAGATGTGGAAAGTGAACCCCATAGTAAACTGATGCTCAAGGTCCATTAATCCAAGTTTTTTCTTCACTTCCAAAATAAACTCTTTCCGTTTTATCCTACTGACTGCCTCTGGCTGCCAAACTTTGGTTGGCACTACCAGGTACTTCTCTGTGCCTTTGCTCAGGTAACTAGAGAGGCTTTGCTTTTACTGTTCATTTACTATGAAAAATATGAAAAATAAAATTTTTAATATATAAAGGTAGAGATATTAGTAATGAGAAAATGTAGGGGATGTTAGTGGAAAAATTTAAAGGAAGGAAATAAAGCTGTAATTTTTTCAAGAGGAAGAAGACAGCTACTCAAATTATTATAATGATAAAGAATAGAAGAAATGCAATTATTGAGATGTGCATTTAGTAGAAAAGTAAGAACCTTTTTCTTTACATTCAGCATAATTCATTTATTGAAATAAGCAAATTAAGAGAAAGAAAAGGAAAAGAAAATATATCTCAGATTTGTAAGATTTTGGTCAAGAAACTATACAGTTTACATTTAGATATTCCTTGACAGTGTGCTGTACCTTTGTATAATTTCACTTTCTATAAGGCAAGACATAATTTTACTTGTAGTTTGTCTCAGACTTCATTTTGCAAAATCTCAGAAAGATCTAGGAACCATATTACAGGAGAATAATTCTACCTGGGAGTTAAAGATGAAAAGGAATTGGCTTTTTTCATATCTCAAATTTCTCTGGTAAAAAGACTGAAAAGACACTTGAAATGACATTTCTATTCACCCTTTGTACTTCTGGTGGAAGCACAAGAAAGGGTGCCGATTGCAGCCGCAGTCTCTATTAGAGAGAACTAGGGCGACACTATCAAGGTATTTTCATGGACCACCAACCATCCACTTTTGTTCATGATCAACTGAGACTGAATTTAAACTAGTGACCTAAAAGTTGTAAAGCTTCCATCAAATTACTCTTCCAAAGACTTCTAATAAGAGGATGCATTAGAGGTACTCTGGCTCCTACAGACCCTCCATCCTCATCTTTTTCGCACAAGTAGCATTACCTACTGCTGACTTACTGCTCAATTTAGAAAGACAAGATTTATGGGGAAATAGAGTTTCAAAGCTGGCATCGGACTGGCTTCAACATAATATTGTGTTGATCAAAACAGTTTCCATCTTTCTTCCTCTCTTTTCCTTTTTAAGTATGTTTCATTCATTCTGTCTACCAGCTGTCTGAGAGGCTGTGATTCTCCTCATATGAACATTTTCGTTGTTCTATATTGAGCATGGTCAGTCAAGAAAAAATGTTACTCAACGATCTGCTTTTTAAAAATCTCTTATGATCAGGGTTAGTTTTAGGTGTAATTTTTTTTTCTTTTTTCTTTTTTGCTCTAGGGCATGTACACTCACTAAAGAGAGAGACTGAAAGGGAAAGTGAGAAATCATCCTTGTAGGGGAGATGGCCACCCCTCAATATCATTTCTTCCATTTTCCTCCTAGGATTGGGCACACACACTGGACATGAGTTTCAAGCTGCTAGGTCTAGGACTCAAACAGCGGTTGGTCATGTGGGAGTCTAGCACCATGCTACCTTGTGGTCACTTTGTCTGAATTTCTTTTTAATCTATTTTCACCATATTAAAAATGAGACAATAATATCTTACCAGATATGACTGTGTATTATACTCAAATACAGAAGTCTTTCTCTTATCCTTATAAGAGCAATTATTTCCTTCCAAATTACCCTTTGACATCTCTCACATCCCCTACAACTCACCCCATCATCATTAGCACACTCCTTCTTTTATACAGACAGAAAATTCTCCTGTATCATCTTTGTCACCTCTTTCTTACAAAATAATAATAGCTAACACTTTTTGCACTTAATATTAAGTCAGGTAGTGCATTAGTTCTTTCAATTCTTTATTTATTGTGTCAGAAAGAATATGTAGGTTATATTATAGGACATTCACATACACAACCTCAGAATCTCAGGAATTTACAACTGAAAATATTTCTTTCTCACTCCACATGTCCACGTGGATCAGCTCCTGCTCTGCTTTTCCTCATATTCACTCCCCATCAGAAAGACAGAACAGCTTCCATGTAGGAAAATGTTTTTCTAAGAACAAGCAAACAGAAGCATAAATAAAATTTTTTTGGTTGATACAGTAGGATTTGATTAATTAGTGTGTTCAATAAATTCACTTATTTAAATTTAGTTGTCACTACCATAATAAGCATTGATTAATTATTTGATTTTATTTCCAAGTTTTTACACACTGAAGACTGGCTACCGTGATCTGCTTTAAAAATGTTATAGCTCT